TGCCATGCTCCCTTTTCCCTCCCACTCACTTAAAAACAAAAAGAAATTGTATATCTGAGTGTCTGGAAGCAATGAGGGAGGAACCTTAGAAATTCGGAGGGTTCCAAGGCTTCCCACGGAGGAAGCAGGAGCAAGCATGACAGAATAAAGATATTTAGAAATCTCAGGTTGCCAACCTACAGGGTAGAGAAGTCCCCTAGCTACACATGTTAGCATCTTGGTCAGGCTTTGGCTCTGCTGGGTGGGTTCTGATGCTTATCTGAGGGCCACATACTCTCACTAGACAGAACATCAGAAGTTCAAGGGCCAGAAGCCCAAGATCCCAAGCTTCGGGAAGTTCACCTTGTGTTTTTTCCGCTCAAACATAGGTCTCAATGAAGTGCTTTTTCACCAGTCCAAGAGCAGTCTACCTGGCAGGACTATAATGAATTCAATGAGCCTGGCCTAATGACAGATTTCAAAAGAAAATTAGGTGCTAAGTACTTCTGACCGGTGTAGATTTCAGTCTATCTGTGACCTTGTTCTTCCTCTGTAGAATGGAGTTACCCATAATTCCTACCATATCACATAAAGGAAATGAAAATCATTATACTAACAGACTGTAGAGATGCTTTGACACTCAAATAATGAGTGTAGCATATAGGTAGCTTACCGAAAATGAAGTCACCCACTTTTAAGACATGACGTAAATGAAACATTGCCAGCTTTTGTATTCTTGACCTACACATAACAGTCATTTAATATTTTGGCAAATGCCAAAAAGTAGTCAGGTTTCTGCTGAGGAAAAGTCACCTTCAGTTCTGCATTGCTCTTAGGTGCACGTAATTACACAAGTAGTATATTCACCAAGAATGATCATAAAGGATTGTACAATGCTTACTAGGCTACAGTTTTGATGAGGAGAGGTCTGCAGGTACCATCAGTATATAAATAACAGTATTATCCAACAGGGCAGAACATGTAAACAAATGTGCATTGGTGTTTTATATGACGGACACCTGATCCCACTGATTAAATTCCTGATTGGGGTGTAGATTTGTCATTGTCTTACATAGTACCAAATTTTACCCACATATTATCTCCACCATTAACCAAAGGAAAACTGATTACTCCATCATCATTTAAATTGATCTTGCTGTGACTTGGCAAGGAGTCAGAGCAGTGATGATATTGACCCTGCAAGAATATTTGGTCTAATGCCCAGAGGCATTAACCTTTATTTAACCAAAAGATAAATCTCTTGATGAAAGGCAGCATTTTATTACTATCCACCTGCAACAAATAGCTCATTTCTTACTACTATAACTCAACTGCTGGTACTGAAGAGCAAAACTTGCACTTTAGTTTCAGAGGCTCTTGAGTAACTCACATTGAGATCATAGATCAAAACTGATTATATAGTTGTAATGATCAAGTCCTGCAAAGTGTTATGCCCAGCATAGAGGGCTAAATGTAGCAGCTGAATCCTGTAGAAAGAGACGGAGCTTGTGAACAAATTAACTGTAGTTAAGAATACCAACCAAGTTGCAGGAAGAGGATGGCCAAGCAGGAAAGATGTTCTTGACTTCTGGGACAGGACTGATACTTCCAGTTGCCCCATTATTCATTTTTTCCAACACAACCTACATAAAACTGAGTAGTCACTTTTATTGTCTCAGTTTAGAAACAGCTGAAAATCCTAAAGCTGGTATTTTTCCATGGCATTTGAATTAATGACTGGCAAGATTATATTGCCAAAGGCCCATCAAGTGCAGTCTCACCCCAATTACCAATGTTTGCTTCATCCTCACCAGTCTTTCATCTTTGAAGAACATCTTGCCTTTAATCAAACACATTAAGTCAGCACTACATCAGGTCTTTCCTTGCGTATTTCTCTGCTCTGTAAGACCAAATTCTGCCCATAAGTATGTGTCCCTGCATTGTCTTACGTCAGATGGTTTTCTGCAGCATTCTGCATACCCAGCCTTGGTTGTACCTGCTCAGCTTCTACCACACCACAGTCCCAAAGTTATGATTTTCTCTCAATAGAATTTATTTTTCTTTATGAAAAACAAATGTCATCTGGGCTTTTGAAATCTGTAGATCTACATGGTAGGCCGCAGGAAAGAGTACTGCTTTCCAAATTTAATATTCTTTAATGTGTTTGTTAACAGAACATTGACATCTGCTTAATGCTTTCTTTACAGGGATCTATCAGATCTCCCTTTATGTATTTCTTGCCAATCTCAACTATCAGCTTTTGTATTTACATAACAGAACATGAAGTAAGTAACAATGTAGCTTAAGGTTCCAGAGCTAAAATCTTGCATAAACCTTTTTTATTTTTATTATTATTCAGGAAAGTGCATCTGCTCTTTCAAAAACTTTTAATCATGGTGATCTCATGCACTGAGCTCTTGTTTAGAAAAAGGCTGCCCGATTACTGTAAAGTTACAAAACAGAGAAGAAAAGCAATGAACTAAGAGATAGATAGTTAATACATAGCTGTCCTTTTCATGCCGATGTTGCCAGCAAAGTTGTAGTGCAAATCAGATGCCTCATTGAAGAGAATTTTTGGCAGCCTAAAAAGAAACAGCAGCAACTCAAGTGTGTTTCTGAACTTCACTTATAAAACCAGTCTCATGTACTGTCAACTCTCACTTGCTATTTTTAACCCTTGGGCTCCTATGTTTTGTTTTCGTTTTGTCGAAGCAAAGGAATGAGAGAGATGTCTATTAGACTCCTTCACTCAGCCCGAGGGTTAATTACTTTGTCTGGTAGACATTTGAAAATATTATGTTACCTTTAATGGCAAAATTGATAGAAGCTTGTTTCAGACTCACTTTATGTCATTATGGCAGATTAAATTAACTAATCATAAATTACGCTGGCTGAAGTACATCTGCTACTCACTAAACCTGCAGAAGGAAGGGAAGGGGTTTTTTTCTGAATAAGAAGTAAATGCCACGTGGCAAATTAAAGACTTTTTCAAACCAATAGACATACATTCAAGCAAAAAAACCTGGAAGCATCCCAAAGATGGCAGCGACAGATTCTGAAGACCATGGCAGCAGTCTTAACACTGAACCTGTAGCTGCTACGGGAAAGCATCAACACTGCAATGCTGCAGGGGTATATCCACTGATCAAAGAGGAAAGATGGTCTATTAAAGAATAAAGAAAGTCAATTAAAGAAGAATAAGCATGCTCACATTATTGTTAGATGTCTCCGAATACCAATATGTCATAAGAGGTACATGTTTGCTGCCTCTACTTCCAATATCACCTTTCATTTTCTGTTCAAAGGTGCTGAATGCACCATTTCTATGTGCTTTCAAGGAAAGGGTGGATGTATACATCACTGATCTAGAAGACAATATAGATTTTACAGTGATCGTCTTGTTGTCCTCCACATTGCAGGATGCAGATGTGACAGCTGATACCGTGTCAGTATGATTGAATTCTTAAACAGGGCATGGACAACTGAAGTTAGAGATGTGTGGGAGGAATGAACAGAAAACAGGCATGCAAGACCTCTTCTGTGCAGTATAAAGTATCAAGTCCCTATCTGTAAGCTCATGGTACACCAGCCCAATCAACCCAATTAAATGAGGATTTTCTATCTTTTGGAAGAAAATAAAGAAGAAAAGCAATATTATATTGTATTACATGTGAATTCACATATGTAGTTTTCAGTTAAAAAGCAGAACATTGTTTTGGGATGACCAGATAGCTTGCTACTGTCCAGGAAAAAAACCTTTGCTGAACACCTCCAAAAAGAGTCCAAATAAGATAACCAGCCTCCCAGTGACCATGTTTAGAGGGAGGCTAAACAAAGGATTGACAAATCTGTTGTGTTCCTTCAGATGTCACAAAGCCTCATGAAGCTTTGGGGGCACCTGAATAGCCCAAACTTTGTGTGAACTCTCAACATATTATAACGTCTTCTGGAAAGGTGCAGCACTCTGTTCACCTGTTCCCAGGTTCCTACTGCATCAGTCCCTTGAGGCAGGTGACACTCTCAGTACCATGAGTCCTTTTCCCGCATGTTTCCCTCCCATTTCACATTCTCTGAACGATATTCCCCAAACCACCTTCTATGCATGATGCATATAGCTACAAAAAAGTCAGAAGGAATGAAATACAGCTACACAAGGATTTGGAGGAAAGCAATGAGGAAGGGGATTGTGTCCCTCACCAAGACATGGAAGGCAATGATGAGGTTTAGTCCTGCAGTGAAAAAATTATTAAAATTTCCTCTGAAAATAAAAGAAAGATTAGATCACCATCAGTCACTGGATAACCTATTTTAAGCCCACCAGAGCCAGTGTGCTGTTCTCATGTTGCTAATTAAAAATGAAAGATTCATCAATTAATCTCTCTTCCTGTCCCCTAGTCTTGATATGAGATTTTTCAAAGGGACAAGGGACAAATGGTAGTTAGGTGCCCACAAGTATTGTTTCAGCCCTGAAAACTTGTGCCTTTGTCAACATGAACCTGACCTTGTCTCTTTACACTATGAACTGACAAAAAGAAAACTATAGGAAGCTTTGCCACGCTGAAAACCACAACAGATTTATAATTTGGGAATAATCTTATCCTCTGTACAATGAATATTGCAACATAAATCCTTCCTGGGCTCCAGTCCCAACTTGTTCATTGATAGATGAATAAGCCTTTGTTAAATTTGGCAGAGAGAGATGTCCTAAGCTTAGGTTCTTGATTGAAACTCAATTGCAATACTTACTATAGAGCAGTCAGAGACATTCCACTATTTAGGAAAGAAGCAACGAAGGCAATTTATTTTTATTCACATTGAAATAGAGACAAAGATAAAGGTCCCTGCTGTTAGCTTAGCAAAGTGCCAGACACATAAAGCAAGCCAACAAAATGGGTTATCTTTTCACCTTTCAATACATGTATTTCCAGGCAGTGAAATAGAATTGGGGTGTACAAGGTTAAGAAGCCAGCATCATGTTATGAAGCAAGCGATAAAATTGTCTTACAGTTCTTAACTCTGACCTGTTCCAGTGAAAAACTGCCAAGCAGAATTATGTCATCCTGAATATCTCTCTCAAATTGTTCAATATATGAAGGAATCTCTTCATCTTCAAGCTTCCTGTGAAGGTCACGCGCCTTACTGGAGCTGACAGGCATCACAGAGTCTGGAAAATCTTCACTGCTGACACAGGCTGCTTGAACAAAAAGTGGCAGATTATCTCTTAGCAAATGGTAGTTCATTCACTGATTAGTACCTTCTCAGTTAACATGTTTGGCCCACCAACATTTTAAGACAGTAATTCATGTCATAAAATGAACAGTAATAAATAACAGCAGTAGAACAACTGGTGGGTTCCAAGTGCCATTACCAGGAAAACTCTCCTGAAGAGCAACATCTGCATACAGGTACAAATTTAGCACATGCAGCTTGTTCCTTAAATAATTTTAAAAAGAGATGATCTGCACTTCCACAGTCACTTCACTCCCTTGTAAATCTTTCAAGGAATTGGGATTTGGAACAACTTTGGCTTTCACTCCTGAGGAAGAGGAGGAATAACTGCAATTGAAAGGGAGTTTTAGGCAGAGTCACACCAAGCATTTCATCCTCCTCCCACTCATTCCAGAGGATCGGATTCCTCCCCTAGGTGTGTGCATGCAGGTCCAGTTCTGCTCTCACCCATGTCATTCCCCTGATTTCACTGTGGTGATGTATACAGAACCAAAGGGTACACGCTGCACATAAATAAAAATAAATCCCATTCATAAATTCGACCTTAAAGAGAAGCTGTGTCCTTTTTTCAGCTTAATTCAGCATGCTACATAAAAAAACCAGATCTTCTTATTGATATCTGCTACAGCACTAATACTAGTTTGGATCATAAATAATAAAGAAAACTATTTTTGTTCATTTCTCCACGTTAGGATCACTAAGAAATGACAGATATCATGTTGTCCACATCTGACTATCTTTCTTGCCTCATATTTCCGTGTGTAAGTTTTTATAGTTCTCTGTGCCTTTCTCTGCAAGAAACTGCCATATCTAGTTATTTGCTTTCCTCTTTGTCCATCCTAAGACATGAAAGCAGTTAAAAGACTTTTTTTTCCTCACTCCCCTTTGAAGTCTCTCATTCTCTAATGAAGACCAGAGAAGGAAAGATAAAACTAAGGCTATTAACATTTTCAGTTTTGCTCACTATTCATTGTTTAACGACTTTAATTGTTGAGCCTCCTGAGTACTTAAATCACCTTGGTGCCACCAACACACAGGAAGTAGTGTGGTTTTTTTATTTAATTACAACAGGATACAATTCAAAATCATGTTGAGGGAAGTGTACAGTAGATATAAACAACCCAAACCATTACCTTAGGGTACACAATCTCTTCATGTAGCATCTTACAAGCCTAATGAAAAGTGATTTGACCTACAACTATTAGCTGCAAAAACAAAACAATATTTACATTTAAATTTACTGTAACATTAAGGGTTTGGCTAGAAGAGAGAAAATCCAGGAAGCACTGGAGAAAGGAAACATTGCCAACAGCAGAAGATGAAGCATCATTTGTTCCCCTCAATGGTGTGTTGTACACAACGGGCCATATGCTCAACAGGTATAAATCAGCTGTTTTACTGCTTTCACAGGAGCACTGCAAATTTACATCCTGGAAAGACTGTACATTCCTATGTCAGGATCCTCTGGGTGTAGAGAGATAGTCCTTATATATCAAAAAAAAAGGAATAAAAACATTTGGTTCACAAAGACGACCATGCATTGATTCATCAAAATATCCTTTTTCTTTTTTGTGTTTATTATTTTTGTGAGGAGTTGTATCAAGGGAACTCAGTTTTAGTGGAAGACACTTGGCTCATTAGCATGTGTTTTGTGGAAAAACAGAAAAAGAAGAGAGAGAACATTTTCAAAAGCCTTTTCCAGGGAAGTAACTGTTAAAAATACAGAGATAAATTACAATTCAGATTTGAAAAATATTTGATTAGAAGATACATATGCTCATTTAAGCACAATTGGAAAAACTGTTCATTTGCCTGAGCTGGAGACAGGGAGAGAACAGGGTTGTTCAACTGGTCTATTCCTTCCATGCTGGCTTTGCAAAGAAAACTCTGGAAGTCACCATCAGGTTGCTCCTTGTCTGAACTGACCTACAGGTTAGAGGCTTGAGCTGCCAACCCAGAGCAATGCTTGACCAAAACAAATCTTCCACCTCCTTGCTGTATGAAAGTAGACACGGCAGTAAAAATGCTACTACTTTGTACACACAGGAAAAATGGCTGAAAATTTATGAGGAAACTCATTGATAGATTGATAAACTAATTAAAATCTGGCTGCTTCAAGTTGTTAGCATCTGCATCAAACTTTTCATTGCCTCAGCTGTACTTAACACTGCAAGTCATACTTTCCATGTAGTTTAAATCACTTCTCCTTAGCACAGGCTGTATTTGCAGATGCTGTGCTGTAATTAAAACAATCTCTCTGGTATTAGTTTGGCTGCTTGTAACTTCATTTACTCCTGCATTTGTCCATCAGATAGCAGTGGTTTATATACTGAGATGGGAATTTAAAGGGCAGGTTCACCAGCAGATTATACCTCAGCATAGGTTTGAATGTATAAAGCAGCTATAAACTCCACATGGAAAACGTATTTTGGCTATCGGGTTCTAGAAGACTCTATGTATAAATTGTAGCTAAAAAAAGTACATCAACAAAGGCTCATGCATCAATTTCAAACAACGAAAATGCTACAAAATATTGTACTTCAATTGTTCAGTTGTTGCCAAAGAATAATTTAATAGAAAATATTTTTATGGCATTCACCTAGCATCATATTAGATATGCATGTATCATGATCTTACATTGTTTGAAAGATTTAGCCCTAGGTAAAAAATACAGTCTACATCTTTCTCTAAAAAAAACAACAACCCATGTTACCTTTTAGTTGCCTTATAATATGAAATAACAAGTACCATAGGAGTGACCAACAGGTTACTCAGCGACAAAATGCTTTAAATACACAATTATATAAAATCTGAGCCATGTTCTTCCCTTTCCTTTGGGGATCGTCTTTTAATTAGGACTCTGACTATGTGCTTTTTCAGCTCAGTGGCCAAATGGAGAAAAGAAGCAGTTCCATAAGATCAGAACCAAATGAATCCTGGTTTTCTATGGATTTTCTCATGTCCAATAAGGGTCACACTCCCATACTAGCCTTTTCCTCAGCGGAGGCATTAATAATGCTTGTCTGCTCTGCTCAGCTGCTCACTTCCATAAAACTGGTAGGGAAGTCAGACCTGTGAGACTTGCCTTCTGTTAAAAAAAAAGGGGGGGAGTTGGAAGTGAACAACAGGTTCAAAATTTGGGAGGGAGACACAGGCAGAAATAAATACAGCCTGATATATACACACAGAGGTCGAGACTGCATAAGCCTCACTTCCTCAGGAAAATCTTGCTCTTTCCTGGATTTTATTCACCCAAGCCAAGAAAAATAAAAAATTCAGCTAGGATGGGGTGCAACATTCACCCACAGGACTAGCTCTAACACCCATTATAGCACTTTTAAGAAATAAAAGCATTGAGACACTGTTGGAGACACAAGACAGCAGCAGGCTGTGGTGTCTTCCTCACTCGCTGCCTTCCTGCCTACATGGGGGGCTCTGACATGCACTTGGAGCGCGAGACACGTGTGTTAATGCACTTGGAGCATGAGACATGCGTGTTAATGCACTTACTCGCCCTTGAATTGAATCAGTGAGCCGGCAGCTCAGCAATCTCGACAGCCTCAGTGCAAGATCACCATCCGCAGAGCACACCGCATATGTTCAAATGGGTTTGGATGGATGAGAAATTTGAATGTGTCTCATACCCCACATAGCCAAACAGTAATAAGAGTATTTTGTCTCTCATGGTGGTTTGATAAAAATATTTGGAGTAAAAGATGGCTTTAGTTCAAACATACCTGGTGAGTTTAAATTATAAAGATCTGAGGAGATCAGTGAAACCTTATTTGTCTCTAAATATGCTATTTGCTATTATCCTCTGTAAAGCATCTGTTCATCTTAACAATATTCATTAATGTTATTTGTAATATAATATAGAGTTTCAGGGTACCTAGCTGAACGAGAGTAACCACTGATGGATGGGGAAGGCTTCCCCTTTGCTCCTTGGTTCCCTTGCTTAAAAGTGGACAGGGTACAATTTGTCTAATCAGCTAAGAGGTGTCTGCATGAAGTGTACTGAATCACTGCTGAGAGGTGCTTCTCTCTCCCTCCCCCACCACTTTGAGGGAGCCCCAGATGCTAACTTTCACAAAGCTAATGGTAAGGGTACTAGACCACACCCTGGGGCAGCCTGTAAAATGACATCAGGACATTTTCTTTAACCATACAGGGTTATTTTGATGATAGTTATTGAAGAATATGAAATGCTATAAATATTGGCAGACAAGGACTACATAAGTACCACAGATAGACACCACATGTCAATCTTTCTTATAGAAATAATGTTGACTTCGCAGCCAAACATGTTTTCATTTTAATCTATGTTGTTGCAGGATAAAAGCAACAATCAACTTGCAACATTGTTAAAATCTTTCTCAGCAATGTGGAGCTGTACATTAACATGCAACAACAGAGAAGTTGCTAATCGTTTGTAAAAAGGTTTTTTGCTTGAACGATCTGCATGATTTTAGCTATGATGGTTGTATTTTCTTTTCCTTGCATTTAAAATGAGACAAAATGTGTTTCAAAGATGTTACTGATATGACCAGTGCCAGTTCAAGGTATTTTGCAACCCTAGGCAAATGAAAATGTTTGCCTCTTCTAGAACAAAGTTCCTCACAAACTAAATAGTCATAAAATAAGTTGCAGCTCCTGGAGCTCTAGTGCTGTAGGCAGCAGTCTGCTCTGTCTCTCTGACAGAGTAGATCCTGCGTATAACTAAAACGTAACAGGAAACCTCATACAGATACAAAAAACTGAAAACATTTTTGCACAAAAGACTTCTGCTGAAAAATGAGGGGAGAGAGATATCCAAAAATATGAGGACAGCCCTGACCAGGGCTTGTTCATATATCACTTCTCCTAGGATGAACCAGAGGAGAGCAGCTGGCATACACCTTGTGTAAAGCCTGTGGCAGTAACAGTCTCGTGAATCAACTGGGTGTTAAATAATGCCTGTAAAAATAAATGAAGCCAAAGTAAGGCTGTTGGCTTGAGGTGAAGAAATCTCTTCTACACTTTGTTGTTTTTACTGTAGATGGAACATCAATTTGTATTTTCTAACAAAGCCATGCAAAACATTTTCTTACTCACCTGTTGGTGTAAATCCTTAAGCAGATAACCTCAAACACTGTGTAACACGACCAGTGCATCTGACAAATGGCCCACCCATTTATAAGCTTAAATAAGGATTTAGATTTCTAGCTTTGAGCACATAAACAATGATATATCCAGTCTTGTTTCATAAGGATGGAATTCAACATTCAATGAAGTAGCCTAGAGAAAGCGCGCCACTTGAGTTACATTTAAAACCACATAAAAATGACTCAAAACAAAAACATTTGGGGAAGAAGATCTTTCAGGCTCACATTAAAATCAAAGTCCCTCTTGCTTCTGAGTTCAAGGAGATGGATTACCCACTCTCCTCCCTGCATCCAGACTCAAGACTTTTATTTTTCTTTATGCAAATGATTTTGTTATTTACCTTGGAAGTCCAACATCTTGTTTTCTTCATCTAGAAGCTTCATCAGTTTACTGTACAGGATTTGCTCATTGAATTTCACAGGATCTTAAAAAAACAGAGAAACATGTATTATTTCTTCCAGTAGTATTTCAGGGAACACTATTTTAAACTATAAATAAAGATATAAAAATACAAAAGTTAAGAAGCCATTTGACACTTTAAAATAGTTTTCACAGTGCTAGTTTCATAGGAGAGGTGACTGTCATTTTCTTCTCTGTTATGGAAGACGGTTTGAAAAATATATATATAATTGTATATTTTTTAATGGTGAGCAGTATTATATCTTGATCTGGACTGAGACTGGTAATTCTGCTAATAGACTAATTGAAATTATTATTTATATTGAAATTGCCAGATGAATTCTATTTTACTCTTAATAAAAATCAAAGTACTTAATTTATTTTCTAAGGTGATTTTGGATCTTTATTAGAAATTTTACCTTGCCATCCATAATACTAACATGTTATCTAGTATGAGTAGTCATTACAGAGCACTGTGATTTTTGATTTTGTGGCTAGTCAGTCATCCAAATTCCCAGTAACATCTGCAGAAAAAGGAGCAAGGGACACACACACATGTAAGTTTTTCCATGAGACCTAAAATATCACTTCAAGTGTCTATATTCAAGGGAGAAAAGACCAGTTGAGACTGTCTTCTCTCTAGATCTCCCAAACCCTGCCTTCTCTAAGTTGTCAGTGAAGACAGGCAGATAGAAAGCCAAAGAAATGCATACAATATAAGTGAATTGAAGTACAGCTACAAGCAACCTTGGGTGGCTCTTTTTAAGTGCCCGATAGAATCTCAAAGAATGTATTTTCTTTACCATGAAATTTCAGAGTCAAGTTTTTCAGTTACTCTGAGCATTCAAAGAGGGAGGCTTCTGCAAACAAGTACTAGTACAAGTACTTCTGCAAGTACAGAATGTTTTACATTTCTTTCAGCGTGTAACATTGAAATGTTCCGTTGGCGAGGGGGAGAAGCAAATCCATAGTGGGGTGTTGTTTGTTCTCAGGGCATTATCAACTCAGACAAATTTCCAGAAGAAATTTAATTTATCAAATATAGAAAAGATAATTGCCAATATCTTCATTTTCACAGAATAACCCATTAAAGAATCCCATATGATGAACATATTAAAATGATATTTAACTTTGTATAATAGAGTTAGTGGCTGAAGATTTGCTTTTCACCAGCTATTCTCTTTGGGCTTTGGCTTAAGTCATAAGAAGAGCATAACTTAAAGCGTGCCCTGATTTCTTCATCTTGTACTGCTTTTGTCTCCAGTTAGTGACAAGCTGCTAGCTGGAAAGAAGAAGTTAATGATTATGGTTTCCAATCAGTATATGACCATGCAGGACTAGACTTCAGTTCCAACTGTCCTTTTAACTCCATCCACTACATACAAATGTAGTTCTACTTATTTAACACTTTTGCAAGGAAAAAGAAACCAGATAATGAGTCTGGTTTGTGAGTATCACCAAATCAGACTGGTTGAGGTGGGAAGGGACCTCTAGAGGTCATCTGGTCCAGCCCCAATGGTCAAACAGAGCCACCAAGAGTCAAATTGCCTAGGGCCACGTCCAGATGGCTTTTGAATATCTCCAGGGTGGAAGATTTGCTCTTGGCAGAGATGTTGGTAAATATAGCTTTGTAACTGCTCTGTAGATGTCAATACAACCAATCTGAAGTCAGTACTGTTGCTAACAGACCTTTAATAAACAAGTGTTACCCCAACCTCTGAATGCCACTTTTGTTGGGGAGAAAAAGGAGGAACGCCAAAGGACAGCTGTTCACACATGGATTACAGGTCTAGCCTGATATGCAAATGTCTAAAATCACCTCTCCACTCTCACCCCAGGAAGTGGATGGACTTTCTCAGAGCTTTCATCTGTTCCAATTTAAAAAAAAAAAAATTAAAAAAAAAAAAAAAAAAAACAACCAACATTTAAGGTTAAGTGATACACACTCAGTCTCTTCAACACAGTCAAGAAAACATTTTCTTCTGATGAAAATTGTACTCCGTGTATCCCTTATGACACCACTCTATCCATACACATTTTTAGGCACACTTGTACAGTTACAGAAATCTAATCTGCTTTTCATTGTCTGGTTATGAAGCAGACCATGACTCATGAAACCTACGCATAAGATAAACCAAGCCAATACCAACAGAAAAAAAAATCTTTCATTTGAAAACTCTGAACCAGAAGTTGACTTCCAAGGTATTATATTGCTGTCCTATACAGTGAGTGGGGAAATTATAGGGGTTAGATGTAATTCACCCATGATAAACTTTGGTTTTGTTCACCGGTACACAGAAATTCAAGTTACTGACATGCATTAGAGCCTACTTTTCTCAGTCACACAAATTTTCACCTCAAAAGTTTAAATCTCCATATCTACTCAAAAGGTTTCTCATGAATTTCAGAAGTGACCTACTTTAAGACCCTTTATAGTAGACAAATTTTTTAGATTTGACTGCAACTGTGAGTCTAGAGAGTCTCTGCAGTACAAATAAACACAAGGTTTAAAAAAGTGAAGGGCTAGGAAGGTAACACAGGCGAACTGGGTCTTGCGTGCTATTGGGTTGTTAGTGATTAACAACAGGAGCTGGGTCAAAGTATTCAGTGCATAGCTAAGCACTTCATTACCATGATGATGTTCTTACTTAAGTCCACACAAATTCAGGCAGGCCCGTTCCCACCCTTTTTTATCTAAAAGCCATGACAGCAAAGGAGAATTTCCCCTGCTAGACAATACCTCCTGGTTAATCTCTCTCATACCTATGCATAACCTCTATTCTCCCAGCTCTGCAGAGTCACACCCTCCCATTCCTCACTATCGCCCACAGACAGCAAAGCTAAACATCTCGGCCAAACTGGCAAAAAGAAAACCAAAAAAGCCTCCTCATGCACTGGGAACTTTTATGACTCTGGGTTTTCCTTCTGTTAGGTAAACACACATCCAGCTCAGTAACAAAACTTCTCTCCAAGAAGGACTTTGGGAGCAGGGTTGCAAAAGAGCTACAGCTTAGTACTCAGTTCTGGACTAGCTTTGTTAATTAAAGAGAACATGGCATAGACAATGTTCTCGGAGCATGCTTCATTTTGCTACGGTAGCGGAGTGAACACAGCACAGCCTCACTTTTACCCGTCCATTAACTCACTGTCCTTGATCAAAGACTGTGTAAACTGCCTATCATGTTCAGAGCAGTTAAGGCTTATAATTTAAATTGTAAACCTCAATATTTAAATAGAACTGCATATGTGATCTTTGTCACCTCATTTTCATGAATGGAAAAGAATATTCTGACACCAAAATTACATACTTAATTCTGCCTCACCTTCTTCACTGACCTCCATCCCACACTGCCTTGGGTTTATTTCCTCATCCATCAACGGGTCAAAGTAATTTCTGCTGTATTCATTTCCTGTGGAAAGCACACGAAGCAAGGGTCAACGATTATTAGAAGCACATGAACCAAAATGTTAATTTTGAAATCGACACCAGCAAGCAAAGGGGCATTTTTTGCTACTTTATAAGTTAATTTTTTTAACAAGTCCTCTAAGCCTACTAGTACTGCAATTATCATCTTGTGAAAGGTCAGAAAAGGTAATTCTGGAAACAAGTACACTTTATGTTACTTTTGCTCAGGAACTAATGAGAAAAATTCTCAAATTTAGATGATGGAAAGATAAGAAAAATTTAAAAAATCCAGCATCCCTAACATAAGCCAAATTATTCTTGAAACACATTATAAAAGTGAATTACCCATGCTACAGAGGAATTTGTGTTTCACAACTGACCCCTCCAATTTCAAGAGTTTTAAATTTCACCACTGAGGTTTCAATGTCTGGTGCATCTTTAATACTGTATTCAACTAGGGAAGTGTTTAATTACAGAGACGATGCTAGAATACTGCCTCATTAATCTAAACAGCAATTATATTCAGTTGGCTTAGGTAACTAATCCAAGATTTTGATGGAATAAAACCACTCATTTTAGCACTTTCCATTTCAACAGCTAATTTTATCTATTCTTTAGAAACTAATCAAGTTTACAAAAAAAAGTCATTTGTTAGACTTATCAAGGAATAATGCAGCATCTAGCTGCCTAGAGGAACTCTCAATAAAAGTCAGAAGAATTTTCTTTACACAAGAGGGGAGGGAGGGCTTTTTCCTCAAAAGATGTCCTTCCTTCAGGAAAAGTGCTACACTGTTAAAACCATCATCATGTTCATTACGTTTGCAAACAAGGTAAATTATTACTAAACAGAGAAAAAGTGAAATCATTAAGTCCATAACAAATTTTAAAATTGCTTAAATAGACATAGATCTATATCCTGGAAAATACATAAGAGCTAAATATATGAGGGGGTTAATTCATCCAAGATACACTATAGTAGTCAACAGTGTATTTGTTTTAGGATCAAAAATAATCCAAGCAGCAACTCCTTTTCAGAAACGAAATGAAACTTTGATACGAAACTAGGTTTAATTTATATTTCTGGACCGGCACGTTTTGACTGTCAGTCTCTGTTCCTTCAATGTAGTAAGTACAAGAACGGAAAATTTGCTTTACCTTGAGGTCTCAATAAAGAAAAAATAAATGAGTTTCATTTTTGTTACTTTATCTGTCAACAACTTCTAGGCTGGTATGAATCTTGGCAGATGTAATCAAAGTCTTATGTACTGCAATAACAGAGCCATTCTACCTTATTCACTGTAATTGTTTTTCTCTAGCACAAAGGACCATGATGTTCTATGAACACCCCTCCACATGTTGGTAAAACAATTCACCCATGTGCTAAAAAAGAAAATGATTATACATTCCCTTATTCAATTACTTCATAGCAGTAAATGTAAATTGCTGGAAAGTATGTTGCAATCATACAAGCAATACTCAGCTAGTGCTTTTTGCACAGCCTTAATATCACAACAGCTTTTACTGAATTTTAATACCCCTTGTTCTTTATCCTGTGGGTCTGGTGTGAAACTCTGAGGTGCAGGCTTGCGGGCAACTCTTCTGGACAGAATAATTGGCATTTACGAGGAAGTGTCATGTTAGATTTGAGTCTGTGAGGCATGGAAACCATTATTCAAAAAAGAGATATATTGACAAATACCATTAAGCAGCTTGCTCTTTTTTTAAAGAGGACCAAAGAATCATACAATCGTTATGACTGGAAGAGACCTCAAAGATCATGAAGTCCAACTGTACACCCAACACCACCATGCCCATAAACCCACCAAACCATGTGGTTTCGAAGCACCACATCTAAATGTTTTTTGAACACCTCCAGGGGTGGTGAGTCCATCATGTCCCTGGGGAGTCCGTTCCAATGCTTAACGACTCTTACAGTGAAGAAGTTCTTTCTAATATCCAACCTGAACCTCTCCTGGTGCAACTTGAGGCCATTTCCTCTTGTCCTATCACTAGTTACTGGGGAGAAGAGACCAACCCCCACCTCACTACAACCTCCTTTCAGGTGGCTGTAGAGGGCGATAAGGTCTCCCCTCAGCCTCCTTTTCTCCAGGCTGAACAACGCCAGCTCTCTCAGATGCTCCTCATAAGACTTGTTCTTCAGGCCC